CCTCTTTCCCTTTCACGAACAGCCCTGTGTAGACTTTAGACCGTTTTCCTGCCAGGCCCTTCAAGAGAGTCCTCGAGGGTCCGCCCCACTCCCAGCATTTTTCCATATTTTAATCCAGCTCGGCGGAAGAAGGTAAAGGGAGATTCCGTTGATCCGGCTGATTCGGATTGCTCCCTACAAGAGTTTCTAAGACAGCAGTTCCTTCTCCGAGCCAAAGAAGCTGCTGGGGTCCCACTTCGGCGCGCCCTGCCTGCTTGGGAAGAGGGTCGGCTGAATAGAAAGAATACAAGCGCCGTCCAGGCGGCATGGGCACCAAGAAGCTTCTTTCAATCTGGATTAGATACCTGCCTTCAACAGCCGGATCTCCAGCTCATCTGAGCTGTGAAGGATGAATAGATGGCTCTCCAGACAAAGGCAGGTGGCGGCTTCTGGGAGAGCGATCTGGCACAAGGCCTCTCGGAACGAGGCCGGGCGCCATTGGCCTGTTGTCGAGGGGAAAGTTGGGCGGAAAATGGCCAGTTCTCACGACAAAAGGGGACGAGAGAGAATGAGGTGGCTGGATGGAGTCCAGCGGGAGCTTAAATGGACTCCAGAGGATGGCAGAAGACAGGAAGGCCTGGAGGAACGTTGTCCATGGGGTCGGACACGACTTCGCAACTAACAACAACACCACGACAAAAAAAGACTCATGTTTTTAAGATTAAACAAGGGCGCCCATTCCTGGGCCTCTGCCAGATCCACCGGCGGTCCTCGAGTGACCCGTGGTTGGATTGGATTTGTTGCTCGCCCTGCGACCTATTTCGAAAACTCCAGAAGAAGGTGACACCGACCAGTGCAGAAGAGAATGGGCTGTGGAAAGGGACCTTGCAAATGGCCCACCTAAAGGCCGCCAAAACCTCAAGCAGCTGAGATGCGCAGATGGATAGTGTTTTTTTTTAAGTTGGGTTGAGTCCTAGCGGCCTTCCTTCCAAAACCCTCAAGTCAAAATTGAGGGGGGGCGCCTTTCCAGCCCATTGGTGGGCCAGAGAACCTGCTTGAAGGTCGGTGGGGACGACACCTCAGGGCAAGCGAGGAGCCAGGTCTGCTTTCACGAGGATATTCAACCCTGAAGTCCGCGATCTGCCCTCTCGGTCTTCGGCTTTGCAAAAACCCACGCTCCAATTCTGAAGGCGCCTAGAACTGAATCCAAGGCAATTCTGGCAAAACGCAGACTACTACCAAAAATCCGCATGGAGGATCCAAAACTTTTAGTTCAAGAAACACGCAACCCCGTTATCTTTTCTTTTCTTCTTTTCTTTTTTTCCTTTTGGAAGAGGGAGGGAGAGATAAAGTGGTAGACTGTTCAGGAACCGGAGCGAGGGCTTAGTGCAGTTTGTTTGTTTCTCAATTTACTGCAGGGGTTGATGGACGTTTTTCAGCCTGTGATCTTCATCTGGTTTAAAACTACTATTCCATGCACTCTAACGAAGTTACCTAACTAGAATCTTAGTCTTGTTTTCTTCAGCTTCCGGGTTATTGTTTTTAAGTTGCTTTTTTCCCACCGAGTGATAAAGTACATTAATCATGTCCGTCTTGAGAACTAGAAGCTTGGCAGGTTATTGTCCTCTTAGCAGGAAAGGAGAGAGAGACAGAGAAACGTCTGGGAAAATGGAATTCTAGCTGTGCAAACGCACCCCGTTTCGGTGGATTTCAGCCTTCTGGATCTGGGACCGAGATGCGGGTCACTTGAGGGCTGCCCGTCACTTTGGATTCAAACCTGTTCGCTGAGCTGTGATTGAATCCAGCGGGGTCCTTTCTCAGCAGCGATTTACAGAATTGAGACGGTTCTATCAAAGTACGGGCACATTCGGTTGGCATTGAACGTGGCTGAGAATAATCCAATTTACTTTTTTTTTAACGAGCTTGCTTTCTAAATACATCGAGCCTACCTGGATTTTTAATGGAGGAAATAGATACGCTGAATTTACTTATTATACATTAAATAAACGCATAAGGAAAGCGGAGTGAGCGATTATGCGGTTCCCTTCTAAATAAAGAGCAAGGAAATTGTTTCCTCACTCGTAAATCAACCCTAGGAGGCCGAGCAATATTTTAGCTGGATGATAGCTGTCAAAGGCTGTGAGCTTTGTGGTTCAGCGGAGGTTTAAATCACTCGGAACATCATAATTAAACTTAATAATAAAAACTAATCAAAGCTCAACCCGAAAAACAAATGTGTTATTCAAATACCTTTGGGATTGTTTGAGGTAATCTTAACAAAAAGAAGGGAAGGGTGTTCAAAATGCAAATAACCCAAATTAAATAGGTTTAAATTTGTACTAACTGGTTAGTTTCCCTTGAGTGATTAAATATCACCTCCAAAAGAAACCAGGAAAGGCTGGGTAATTATCAGCATGAAGAAACGCAACGGTTTAATGTCCCTCTTTTGATGTGAACGGTATTTATCCATAACCCTGATTCTTTTTTAATTGGGCTCGGATGCTTCCGTTTTCTTTTTTGACCCGTTTTTGTTCTTCCCCAAAGAGAGAAAAGAACCAAATTCCCTACTAGGCATTTTTTCCACACCAACAAAAAAAAATATGTCCATTTTGATTTCTGTTCAAATGTGTCAGTGACTAGGAAAATCTCTTTTTGTTTGAGATAAATCAGAGCTGACCTGTAATTTATTATCTATACTTGATTAGAAAGTAATCAAGTATAGATCATCTGCATGGCTTTCCTAATTGGCCATGCTCTCCCTTAGTAGCATAGGCTTTGTCCAATGAAACTTTAGAGAGTATCCCAAAATTCCATATGAGATTCCATAAAGAAATTTAGGTTTCTGGTAGTTCCCTGAGGTTTTGTAACATTTACCTTGACTGTTAGAATGCAATTGGCCTCAAGTCTGCTGCAATAAATCAAGATGAGATCATCCAACATAAATTCAAGCTGTTCGGAAAAAGAAATTGAACAAGTAAATCTGTTTGGGACCCTGATAGAAAGAAGTTCTTTTGTCAGGTTTCTAAAAACGGAGGCTTAATGTCTCAAATACGAGGACCTAACTTAATCGGTCAGAGACCTGTCAGAAATCAGTGCTTTTGCTCTAAACTTGTCTCGTTGGCATTTGGCATCTATGATTATATAATAGTGATGAGGTGAAAATATTTTGCATCTGCTCAGAATTTCTGTTTTGCAATATATGGTTTTCAGAACTGATGAGTCTTGGCATTACCCCTGCTGAGTGATTGGTCTTTGGGAAAATCCTAGCCCAAAAGTAAGGCATAGAATGAATGTTCCCAGTTATTCATAAGGAAAACAGTATAAAACTAGGTATGTTATATTTTAGGTTTGCATGACATACTAGACTGAATGATAATAGGATTGAGT